TCAATAACATAATGTCACACGTCAATCTACTGTCACTAAAACACGACCCCTTCCTTAAACTATGCACAATATTGCCATGACTTTTGTCACCACATTGCCATGCAAACTCATCTGAAGCATTTGCCCATGCACACAAGTTCATACCCTTCTTACAATGGGGACATTCGTATCTATCTGCAATGAGACCGGTACTCATGAGCCAATCTATCACACTCCTTTCGCCCTGACTTTCCAGACGATTCCAAAACGGGCGTTAAATTCAGGCTCCATCTGCATAAATTTACCCAATATCTATCTAACTAAAACTGCTGACGATGCAAAAAAAAACAACAACCAATTTTGAACTTACCGGGCACCCGGTCAAGCAATCAAAAATAGCAACAGACGTAATATTTAAGCACTCCTTTCTATATCCGCATCATTATAAAGTACCCAACAAAAAAAAATAATTTCTCACCATTTTGTCAAAATAGAACGTAAAATAAAATTTTATGTCTATATTTAAAAATTATATTTCTTTTTTTCATTTATTACGAAAATAAAAACCCAAAAGAAACAAATAGAATATAATATTAAACATTCCTCGGGCGAATTAATACTAATACATAAAAATATTAGTTATCTTAAAATAAACAAAGGGAAGTGACTCCCACATGTAAACACTGAAAAAAGAAGTCGTGGCATCCCCAACTACCATTAGCCCCAAGCGTCTCATATGCAAAATCTCCTTAATCAACAACCCCCACCTCCCCTCTCAGTGCGTACATAACATAATATAAAATATGATTGTCTACAAAAATATAACAACCAATCGTTTTTCTTGTTCCATTCACTGCCAGATCTTTATTAGAAAGTGCTAAAACTTCAACAACCAAAAATGTATTTTATTTTATCGGAAAAAATTACCATAATTATAATCATGCTGATGCCTATCAAACTCTTCATAATATTTTTTCACAGAGTCTCGGAAAATCATAGAATTGGCGGGTTTCGGCGTACAGCCATCCTCCTCATCCTCATGTCCCTTAGTCCTTGGACCGTTGGGGCGTCACAGATGACATGTGAACCATCCTCCTCCATTCCTCTCCGTCTTCAGCACTACCCACTGCATCGCCCAGTGTTAGGCCTGTCCACTCTTTGATGTTATCCTCCCATCTTTTTCTTTGTCTTCCTCTTCTTCTCCCTCCTCTTGTGGTCCCCTGCAATATTTCTTTGTCAAGCCCTTGTTTCCTTGTTATGGTGGCCGTACCATTGCCATTGTAGTTTGCGTTTTTTCACAGACACCAGTAGGTCATCGTACTCCCCAATTGCCTACGAACCCTTTCTTTCACTGTTTCATTGAAGATATGGTCCCTATAGCAATGCCAAAAATGCTTCTGAAGCATCTCATCTCTATCACCTTTATTTTCCTTTCAAGATCGGCTGTTAATGTCCAGGATTCGCAGGCATACAGGAAAATGGAGAGGACTAATGACACTGATGAGCATGTTATAAAAATAATCCACCCCCCCCCCCACATGTGAACTTTGTGCCAGCCTTCTAGCACGCCTAAATTAGGAAAATTTAAATACTGTATACTGTATAGGGTAAAGTAAAAGTTAAAAGTAAAGCAACAATATAAAAACATGTGCCCGCTGGTAAGGTAAAATTAAGGCCAAGGCCAAGGCTTATAAAATTAAAACTTCCTCTTCACCTGATGGAACTAAAGGCCTAAAATAGCGTCTTTTTGTTCATGTACAATATCCATTTAACAAAATTGAACAAGATAAAAAAAAAGGTAGCCTACAGTTCATGAATCTTTTGTCATTTACGACGCCATTGTGGGAAAAACAAGGAGAACTCTTCTGTCTTCAAAGATACGTTATAAAAGTTGCCCAATTGGATATATTTAGATTTAAATAATTTTTTTAACATTTTATAGATCCATCTACTTTGGTATTTATTTATTTATTTATGCATTTTTATATAGCGCTTACCTTAAAGCTCTAAGCGCTTTACAATTATTAAAAACATGTAAACTAAGTAAAATAAAAATGAGACACTAGGAAAGTAACTACTATACTATAGAAACAATTAAAATGGTTATAAAACGAGGACACTTTGGCACGTTTTGGCCTATACTAGCCCACTGTATCCATGCACAGCAATGTAAAGGTGCTACTCGGAAGGGACCTCAATATCAGGGGGCGCTGCTTTTCCTTTACACGGTTGTGCATCCATTTCGGACAGAACGCGGCTCGAATTTTGAGGGTGGAGGCATGGGCGCC